CCGAAACAACTGTTAACTTTTGTCCTTCTTGTATGACTCATCATTGCCCATGGAAGTCAAGAATGTGTTGACTTTAACTGTAAAAAGTCATGGTGGGGAGAAGACTCATGGGTAGAAAGAGCACACTGAAGTAAAGGTGGCAGTGTCCAGGGCAGGTGAGGTGTCCAGGGCAAGAGTGGCTCATTTTGTGGCCGACAGAGGATAGTCTTCTGTCTTCTTTGAGGAAAAGTTTAGGAACAGCAATTAACTGCGATGTGCCAAGAGGCAGTATCTGTGGTCTCTTGCAGGTCGAACTTAGCATAAAATCATGGTGATACTTTGGGCAAGGCAGTAGTTTAAGCTCTGACATGGGAGTCCATAGCTGGAGTTTGTCTCCCCAGCTAGAACATGTCTCCTGCTTCTGCTCTTCAGCTACTCTGAAAAAATAGCTATATTCAGTTATGCTGAGCCCCATCTACTCCCAGCGAGAGTGAGTAAAATATTGGTGACTTTTGGGATTGTCTCACCCAGGGATAGAGTTTCTCTCTCATGTATCTCTCTCCTTTCCTTTGTTTTTCCTTTCCACTGTTGTGTTGCTCAGTTCTCTGGTAATCTTTGTTCAGGGACATTTCTTCAGACAAGCTGATCCTAATGGTCTCTTTGGGCCTTTGCAGCTGGCAGGATGGCTGTAGCAAGAAGCAGACATGTGTTTTCACAGTACACCATCTCAGTCTTGAATATCTAAACAATCTCTGTCACTCTGAGATACTCTGGATAACAGTCCTATCATTGACTTTACAACAGGGATGTGCTCTAGCATCATGTAACCAACATCTGGTTGACCTTCAGTCAGTACTGAGAACATAAGGGCAATTTGTATGTCTCCAGATTAACTTAGTTAAGAAAAAAACCCCAACAACTTGCTTTTCTCAGTCTCATAGCTTTCTTGGTTCTTCAGGGTGGCACAATAGAGGCACCCAGCGAAATTCAGCCCTTGCTCCAAGTTATCCATCCACAATATGTGGTCAATCAAATGGCTGAAAGGGGTCAAGGACTTGAACCATTTAGAGACAGGGCTTGCAGCCCTTGTTGAATGTGGCTGCTCCAGTAGTGTCTAACACCCAAGAGCACCAGAGCAGCTCTGGGGTGGGTATGGGATTGGCATTCATTTTGGTGGGCTTGGTCTCAAGCTCCATCTGTGTCAGGGATGAGTCATTCCTAAACAAATGATTCCTGCCCTAAAACAAGTGATGTAATTGCCCTTTTCACAGAACTGCTGATGACAAAACACTGTGGTTTAGCTCTCCCATGCTCAGATCTGCAGTATAAATCTCATAGACCCTCATAACAGGATGGACCTTTGTGTATGGGGCAGGAGGGGAATCGCACGTCCTACATGCAGGGTTCCTGGGAGGCAGTCAGGTGATGTGGGAGAGGGCAAGAAGCTTGGAAAAACCCAGCTACAGATATAACTAGAGAATTAGCAGCTGCTGGCATCCAGCTAAGCCCCTGCGAGGGACAGAGGCAGAGATCACAACATTAGCTCTAGTGAAGCACCAGCAGCTGCAGGGATCACTGCCCACCTGAACTGGGCGGGATTTCTTCACCCAGAAATCCTGAAGAAAGCCCTGCTGTTTGAGGGATGTCTTATTTTACACTCTGACTGCATGTGCTTGAACACAGTTATATGGAGACTCAAACCACTATGTGAGCTGCTTTTGTAGAAGTGCAAATAATAGTATTGCAGAGTTGTTGCATCACCAAAAGTGGCCCAAGTCCAAAGCAGGATTTGGTTATGTGCTTCAGGCGGTAGGGTTATGTGCTTGTACCAGATGGAGACTTTAAATTTTCATCAGCAGGTTTATAAACACAAAGAATATCCTTTTATCAGCCCCCAGGTCTTTTACTAATAAGCAGCAAATGCAAAACTTCAATTAGCATGGAGTGGAGGCGCAGATGAAATAATATACATTCTTACTGATGATCATCCATCATGTGAGCATGAAATCAAGACATGAGTAATGACCTGCTTCACGTTTTTGGGGCTTTTTTTGTTGTTTTTTTCCCCCTTTAACACACTTGGTAGTATAAATGAGTGAAAACAGCTAAAAATAATTTGAGCCAGATTCTGTGGTGATGAAACTTCATTGCAGGTGAATGGAGCATGAGTTTTCAGCCCTGCTCATCTTTTCATTGACTTCTGTGGGTGCTGGGCCAAGCCAGAACAAAGGTGTGTGACAACTGTGTTGTTAAATTTGCCATGGAAGGATAAAGAGTTTACAAAACTACATTTTTCCTGCTGCTGAGAGCTGGTCAGAGAGGTCTAAACTTTGAAGCAACACTGCTGCGTGTTATTAGAGAATCCTGTCTTTCTCAGGGAGTGCAGGTGCATGGAGAGGGAAAGGGATTGATTAATTTAATGCTGCCTTTGCCTTTAGCAGCACGTTTGCTGGCCTACATGGCGTGCTTGTGTGCTGTATGTGTGCCCCAGCTGACAAGCTCTTTCTGGACCCTGCAGGCATCCAGCCACTGGGCTTGTGCCCTGTGATTCATAAATCATTCAGGAAATTTATGCATTACAACAGCAGTATCAGCTTTTTAGAGGATGTCAACGAAGGACCTCTACCTCGACTGATGTATTTTAGGGAAGAAAAGGTTTGAGTGTATTTGCAAAGAACAGTCTTAGCACATAGTTTGAGAAGGTATTGGGAAGTTGTCAGGAAAGCTGAGGAAAGTTGCAACTTCGTGGGATATAGATTGGTTCTGGGAATTCTGTGTCTAACTTTTCGTGTCTTAAGAAGGCTCTGCTGGAAAACTAATCCACTGAGAGGGTCAGGTCTACTGTTGAAAAGGAGAGGTACATCAATTTGAATCAGTTACTGAAAGAAAGCTGTTCTCCCAATAATATAATGGAGTACTTTTTGAATAATCAAACCCCCAAAGTATACCCTTGAAATACTTATTGGTCACTTGTTTGGGGGATTGTGCTTCAACAGAGGATAACTGCTTTAGAGATCATACTGGCTTATAATACAAGAGAATAGAATAGAGTAGAATCATTTAAGTTGGAAAAGGCCTTTAAGATCATTGAGTCTCATTGTAAACCTCATGCTGCCAAGTCCACTGCTAAACCGCTTCCATAAGTGCCACATATACGCATGTTTTATATACCTCCAGGGATGGTGACTCAACCACTTCCCTGGGCAGCCTGTTCCTGTGGTTGACAACCCTTTCGGTTAAGAAATTTCTCCTAATATCCAATCTAAGATCACAAAAGGGCAGAACAGCATTGTAAAGATGACACTATGAAACCAACAGGATTTTGTGCTGCCTAGATCATGTAGGGTTGAGATTTGTAGCTGAAGGCAGCTGCTGCTCTTTTATAAAATACGGCTGTGAGCTGCGTGTAAGAAGTAGCAAGATGACAGCATGGCACAGAGGTTTGCATTGGCACAGGAGTCAGAGTGTAAGTGCCGCTTGATTGAATTATCGGAGATGCATGAGGCTTCAATTCTGACTTAATGTAGGCACCAAGGCTGAGAGATTATTGAGGCAAAATGGACCTGTTCTCTTTAATTAACTCTGATCTGCTACTCTGATGGCATATATCAATGTTAAAAGGAGGTCACTCAGCTTTTCTTTGTACTGTATTGGAAACGACACATTGCAAGAGGAGGAAAAGTTGTATTTAAAATTCTAGAATCAGAGAGGAAGTGAAATGGAAAAGAAAGATCAAAGATAGAAAGTAGGGGGAGGAAGAAAGAGGCAATGTACAGTATGGCTGATCAGACACCCTCATTTCATTTTAATGAATCTCTGACCACTCAGGAAGGGGAGGGTAGCTCATTGTGTACTGGGTGGGAAAGAACAGTCTTCTGCCACTGCACTGAATTTCCCTTTGAACATGGTCTCTTAACAAAATGAAGAACTGTGCTCTGCTTCCATCTTTCACAGAATAAGAAAAGACAAAGCTGTTTTCTGTCTCCCTGCATCCTGCTTATGTAACTTGCAGATAACAGCTGTGCAATCTGTCTAAGCCCTGGAAAATTTTCTTGTTGGTGACTCAGGTGCTTGGCAAATAGGCTGGCATGGCAGGCCTAGAGATGAGGTTGCAGTTAGAGGCACTCTATAGGTACCAGAGCCCAATTCATGTTCTCTTTATGGAGTCTTTTCCTACTAGAAGCTGTGTGTGGCTTGCTGATCGTGCTAGTCATGTCATTGCCAGGTGTCTCTGTGCTGATGCTAGATTAGTTATGTGCAAGTACAAAGCAGCCCCCTTGATTGCATCGGAGCAGAAGAGAATCACAGTCCTGACTGTTGTCCAGGGATGTGGGTCAGCAAGGAGAGAGGATAAGAGCTAGGCAAGAATGAGTCCTCAGCCTTCACATAAATTTTATCTTTAAAAATTAATGCAGGATGTGGGGACACTGTTTAGTGCAGCTGGGCTGCAAAAATGGGACTTCACAGGAAGCACAGGGTCTCCTTTTGAAGGTTCCATTCCCAAACTCTGTGCAGTCACTGTAACAGTGTTGGTTTGGAGGCTCTAGATCTGGCTGAAAGCTGGAGGACAGCACTGCACATTGTGCTGTAGAATTAAAATTGAGAACTATGAAAAGGGAAGGATTAGACCTGAGGATGAAGGGGGAAAATTGAGAGGCAGAACTGCTTCAGCTGCAAGCTAGGCTTCCCTGTGGGTCAGCTGTCATCTCCAGCAGCAGCAGATCCCAATTTCCATCTCTTTGAAAGTATGACTGAGAGGAGCCAGGAGGTCCATAGCACCAGGTAGGTTCAGTCACTGCAGAGGGTTGAGGCTGAAACAACTGTTGAGATCCCCAAATCCAGCCCATCTTATATGAATCTATGCAGCAAGCCCCTCTGACAGTCCAGCCAAGTTTAAAGCAGTACTTAACTCTCTCCTGCACAGAGCCTGTTTTCCAGGCTGTGGTGAGGGGTTCAAAAAAAAGAATTTGCCACAGTGATGACCTGGTGACTAATGAGTTTCATTGATCTTGTGCTTGCAGGAGAGAGCACTTTACCCTCTGCAGTTCCTTCAAGCTTTTCTGCTGGAGGCTCTGAGGAAGCAAATGTGAGATGTTATCCAAAAGCAGGGCCGTGTGAGCCGACTGAACCTAACAACGCTGTGCTGTCATGGATGTATGAACAAGATAGTGCAGAAGATACCAGCATCAGGAAATCTCTTGATGGCTTCTACAAAATGTATTGCAAAAAACAGCCAGACAGGATGGACCCCACCTATGAGGCTGCATCACGATGTCTGTCACAGAAGCTTTCAGAGCTAGCAAACCAGGATGGAACAAAATATGTGTCGCGTTGCCTGCAAATGGCTCAGGTGATCTTGAACAGAGATGGGTGTAAGATCTTGCCAAACCACCCCCCTACTGCTTGTTTTTCAAAGCCAGCTGAAGAAGAAGTCATGTTGCAATACAGAAAGAGAACACCTGGACTCTCAGATGATGTCCTGCGATTCCTCTTGAAACAAACATGGACAGAACAGAGCCCTGACGCTTCACATGAGAAGTGATCAAGACGCTGGTTTGTTTCCATCATTGGAGCTTTGCTTTCACTCTGAAAAGAAGTAACTTTCTTGAGAAGACACTGTTCCTCTTAGCACCACCTTCACCACCACATATTCTGTGGAGAGGTTCATCTGGAGCAGGCCTTGCCACCTTGGCCTCTGCAGGGCAGCACCGCATAAAGAGCATCTGTGGTGTTACAGTGGCTGTTGCTGGGACATCAGACACGATGATTTACACTTACCAGGCTTTTAAATTGACTTACATCCCTAGCCCAGCTAAACCCAGCCCAAATTCAACCCCTGTTCAGGCATGGATGTCCAGATGCTGTTGACTCTGATTGAGCGAGCTTGGCACAGTGTGCCCCAGACCTGGGGGAGGAAATTTAAAATTTTGTTCTGTACCTGACTGCTACTGTGCTACTGCCTCTGCCTCTATGGGTGTGCCAAGTAGCTATGTGTGCAGACATATGATCCCATAGATTATAGGTACAATGCGGGTGAGCCTTTTTGACAGAAAAAGCACGTGTGTGCATGAGAGCGACAGGAAATATGGCTTCTGATCAGGGTTTTTTTTTAACAGGAGAGATAAAAAAAGGGAAAAAAAAGCTTAGTGATGTTTCCAACATTTTAAACACACCAGCTGAGCAGCCTGGTGATTTTTTTTCCTATCTATATGAGGTGGTTTAAGAGCAAGATGAAATAGATTCATGAGTGTGGGCTCTGCAGAGGTGCCCATAGGGAAGCTGCAAAGTTGGTGCCAGCTGCCCTGATAGCTGCCTGCTGTCACATGCAGAGTGCCTAGGAAATGCATAGCTCACATATCAGTGTGCCCAAGACTGTGGGTCACTTGGCTGGTTCTGTAGGGGCAGTGCTGCTTTCTCCAGCTCTCTTCCTACCCATTAGCTTCTGCTGATTTCTGCTATCATAAGGTCTGAGCCCAGAGCTTTCACAGAGGGGAAGCCAATGCTCATTGCTTGAGTACTCTCTGTTACCTTTGTTGGCCCTACACAAGACTTTGTGATTCCTAATGTATTGATAGATAAGGGAAAATGTTCTGTCAGGTGTTTGAACCACGGAGATGGTTACTTTCCAGTAGAGATCATCTTGTGTTGGTTGGTTACAGCAAGGTTTGCTTCTTCTAACAAGCTCTGCTGCTGTTAACACACAGAACTTTCTTCCTCTGGTTTTAGTTGCCAAGATCACCACTGGCTGCAGTGGGAACTGGCTCAGTGCAGTGGTTCCCTGGCTTGGGTTTTGGTGACTCTCGCTTGCCCTGTGACATTAAGAGGAGACTGGAAGGACTCACTCCCAGCAGTTGGGTTTAGTCACTGCCACCTGGGAAATTTAAAGTGCTCTGGGTCTGGTGCATCGCTCTGAATTTGGCAGGCCTAATTCTCCTTTGTGTTGTGCTTATGGAAACCAGGAGTGAATCCCAAGGGAAACAGCTGCACGAGGGGAAGGGTGCTGGTGTCCGGCAGTGCTGCAGTTCAGGTCCCTTTGGTCAGCATGTGGGAGCCCTTCGAAATGGTAAACCGGGAGCATGCAGAGCTTCTGATCTCTCTCTGGATGGGTTGTCAGTCATTAAAGCTGTTCTTTACTGTCTGCAATTATAAATTTTCTGTTCTTGAATTATATATCAGGTTCTGAAAGAGACACTTGGGATGGAGAAGATAGTTAAATGGTAGTTCTTACCAGTGTTGCCAAGCCAACTGCTTTGGTGTAGTTTTTGTTTTGTTTTACAGCTTGCTTGGGGGGCTTGCAAGTCAAAGAAACCTTCTAGGAAAATTCCGAGTTTTGTCATCTCCAAACTTTTACTGTTAATTAAATAACATTTAGAATAAACCAAATAATTTCATAGCAGATTCTCATATTTTAGGTGTTTATAGAAGCAGAGCAGATCTCAGGTGGATAAATTAGGATCCAAAATCCCACTGATTTTTAATGGTAACAAAACAAGCAAAATGTTTAGAGGAGCCTGTCAGTCTTCTCAGCTATCTGGTGTTAGGAGGTGAAACATAGAATTGTGAATACCTGATCATTCCGGCTGTCTAATGAACAGCTCCATTTCTGGAGAAACAATTAATTTTAGGAGGCGTTTCACTGGGATCTTATAGTTCAATCAATTTTATTAAGTTATACAAGACTGCAGCACAGAGAATAACACTCATAACTACTTTTCCCACTCACTGCTAATTAATATTTTACAAACCTGTGCTGGAACCTGCTATATGTATTTCCAAGTCTGCTGAAAGCCAAACTGTTTGTATTACTCATTTCCTTCATAAACATCTCTCCTCAATTTCTTCAAGACATGGGGAGATGAATGCATCTCTCCTTTGCCAGGTGTTCCAAGCAAGACTCACCGATTGCTTTGAACAGGCTGTACTTGAAAGAAGCACATTCCTATTTGTCATTTTATGATGCTACATAGAAGAAATTGTAGCAATGAATATTACCTCTGGGGAGCAATAGCACAGGGGGCCTAAGTTATGTCTGTTTGAATTTCTTAAGCTGATTTGCAGTTATAACTAAGATGTTTTGCTTTGAATTAACTACATTGGATTCTTTTTCCCTCCTGTTTTTGTGGGTTCTTTGCTTTTTTTTGGGTGTTGCTTTTGTGAGTTTTCTCAGTCTAATATAGGGGAATCTACCCGTGTTCTGGAGCCACTAAATTGCTCTTTGACAGACTGCTTCATCTCCTTCTTGCAGTGGAGTCTTCAGAAAGGTGGAAGCAGCTTTCAAGGAGCAATCAGCTTAAAATGTGTAGGGCTGCTGGGATCCAACACAACTCTAGCGTGCCTCCCACCATTGCAAACACAGCCGCGGGTGCCTTGTCTTCTGCTGCCAGTTACAGAGGCACGAATTTGGCCAGAGCTGCTGCCCCCTACAAACAACAGTGTCCAGCCAGTGACGGAAGAGAGGAGGACAGACCCCAGGAAAAGCAAGAGGACAAGGAGGAGGGGGAGGCAGCTGGCAGGGGGAAAACTGCCCAAGGAGTGCAGGTGGGTAAGTAGGTGCCTCAGATTGAGCTTTTGGGCAACTGCTGTCCTGGACATTTTCCCCCCCAGCCCAGCCACTCACCCCGCAGACAGGGGAAGGAGGCAGCCCTTTCCCAGGGGCAGCAAGGCTGTCCCTACAGGGCAGATCACTCCCAGGCTCCTTTCCCTGACAGTTTAAATGCAGCTTGACAGTGCTTCTGTCCTGTTTCCCTCCCTACCACCACCCCTCCACCAACCTCCAGTTCCTTTGTCTCTCATTATGGTGCTAATGAGATCCCTAGAGTTTTCCCTTTAGAAAGAAACAGATCTCTCTTGAGCCCAAAGAGCCTGATGTCAGTCAGCCAAGGAGAATGAACCCACACGCAACTACTTAGGGTCTCTCTCAGAGGTCTCTTGTCTCCTGACTCAGTGGCTTCTTTGCTGCTTTACCCCCTCTGCCAGGAAGACTTGTGCCTTTGTGCATGTATTCCACCCACTTGTTCATCCACTGAGGGGGTGATTTGCTGTGGTGATGTTGCTTGCTGACTGGGGAGGCCATGCGTTCTCCAGTGTGGACATGTTCAAGGAAAGACAGAGAGGAAGAGGAAGGGAAGTACTTAAGGTGAAAGCATATGGGCAAAGAAGAAAGAAGAATGGACAGTTGGGATCTCAAAGGCCAACTTCAAGGTTCCCAGCTAACATGGTTACTCCAGTACAGCCACACCACTTGCACCAGTTTTAGCATTTGATCTTCAGCATTTCAATTTGGAGATAATTCTTACCCTGCCAGTGCAGCTGCTGAGATCTCTCATCTGTTCCCTTCCTGCGCTGGCCAGATCCCAGCATGAATGTTTGAGTTTCATACACATCAGATTCCCTGCTGCAGTTTCACATGGGGCTGCTATTCCTGCCTTACTGCCCCTGGCAGATTGGCACAGCTGCTAAGCTCTGCAGGTATTTCCAGCAAAGGCAATGGAAATTTGGCTGCTGACTTTAACCAGAGCAGGAAGAGGCCCTGTTGGCCCAGCTGGCTGAAAATTATGGCCAAGATATTTGGGCTTGGTGCAATCTGTCTTTGCATATAGATCTATACTGGAACTGTCTGGGTTTAGGTTCCTGTCCCTGAGTCATCATGAAACTGATATATCTGGCTTCTTGGTAGTTCTGTTTGATGTGTTGGCTTGCTTGCTTTTATGTCAGGGGTGTTGCACATATCCTGGAGGGCACACAAAATATTGGAGCAGACTCTCAGCTGCTCCCCTGGCTACTCAAGTTAATGGTGCTGGAGGGTTAAAAAGGAATTGAGATGAGGATTCAGCATAATTTCTGTAGTAGTAAATATATCTGCAGGTGCTGGTCTGTCAGAATCCAAAGAAAAGCATCCTGCAGGCAAAAATTATGGAAAAAGGTAATACCAACTGTTTTAGCAATAGATACAGCTGGAAGAAATAAACGTACTCTTGAGTGTGCTATCAATAATTACAGTAACAGTACTAGCCTCTATCTGCCAGCTTGTACTGCTTCACCACCACACATCTGTCAGGGCTACAAAGACATTAATACTGACGGATGTAGGGAGCTATTCCTGGGGGTGTACAGGGAGGAAGGAAAGTCTTCAGTGTGAATCAGATGTTGTTGCTTATAATTTTTCACCAGCTTTTATGCTGTTCCACAGAGTTAAATATGAGTTGCTCTGCTAAACCTTTTAACTGCCATTTTATGGGAAATAACCTCCCTGAAAGAGAGAACTGGAGAAGTTAGAGGACTGTATCTGAATCCCTTGAGTTGCTGGTTTGGGTTTGGTGGTGAATTGGTCTGCGCTTTTGGTTAGCTCTAAAACCACCTGGTCTCCTATTCAGGAGGAAAAGGAAGAAAAAACAGAAAGAAAAAAAAAAAAAAAGCGCCAAACCCATACAATTTCCACAAAGAAATCTCAGAGCAAAATATGAGGTTCCTGTTCTTTAGGAGAGTCCTGCTGCTACTGATGTTTGAGAGATACCAGATGGGCTTTGATGGAAGAGAAGTCCTGATGGATTTTGGTCTGTCCCTAGATAAGCCCCAGAGCCAGACATGGACTTTGCCACTCATAACAATGGTTATGAGGTACCCAGGTGTCTGCCTGGAGCCCCTCTCTGGGGCTGTGAGGAGAAAGGGTGCATGCAGGGGGCTCCTCCTGGGGCCTGGAAAAACCTGGGCTGCCATCTATTTGAA